GCACAGATAAATATTGAGAAATGAATAGAAGAAAGATTGTTCACAATTTTTATCTCTGGAGGTCAGTTAGGTATCTGTGTATGCACAGTGTAATTCTCAAAATGACTGCATCTTTTTATATAATAGTTGGTGTTGGCTCTTGCCTTTTATATTGGGATTTTACAGGGTACAAATATAGATGCAGCCAAAAGATTAGCTTGTGGGACTGCTGTGGCTTTCAGGGCTTTCCTCTTTGTGCCATGGTATAATTGTACCCTGTGGGCACAGTGCTGGACCCTTTTGGGGGTATGATCCCTCCTGCCTGAAGATGTCTGGGCTGGTCAGAGAGGGTGCAACAGGGGAGAGGAGGAAACAAAAATAAAAAAAGCCATCGCATCTCTTTTTCCACAAGTCCCTCCATGACTTTCACACTGTATCAGCCTGGCTGTGCCTCACCCTCTGATCTCTGCACAGGCTACGGGGTCACAGGCACAGTCCCGATTGATTCAGAAATCACTGTTTATTCCTGCCACAGTAAGATAGCTCCACTGGTGGGCACCCAAAATGCTACCTCCCACTTTATTATATTAGATCTAAACCTCTGGAACTGCCCTGGCAATGCGTTTTTTCTGTCTTTTTCACACCTCCACTGAGGAGCTTTTGTTGACTGTCTCCGCTTCCCTGCGCTGAAATTGGAAGTCCTCTCATGTACCACATTACAACTTTTTTGGTCCTCAGTCATTAGTGTCTAATGCATCACATCTATTCTGGAGATGGTCTTCAAATTCTGGTTATATTTTTGACTCTCATGGATTTGTTTTAATTTTCTTCAGCAAGTTTTAATTCATTCTAAAATTAAAAAAATATTTACTGGGTCTGTACTATATGCTGGATGAACCCTTATGGTATGCATAATGAATTACAAGCTGAGCTGCTAATGCAGGGTCAGCAAATTGAATCTACCAGTTGTTCCATGGGAGATATAGGAGGCTTTCTGCTCCCATAAAGATTTACAGCCTAGGAAACCCTTTACTGGGTCACTATGAGTCAGAACCGACACAATGGCACACAACCACCACCACCACAATATGCTGGAGTCTTGATGTGGCACTGTAGGATAACAACTGGACTATTAACCAGAAGGTTGGTGATTCAAAGCCACCCATCTATCCTTGGAAACCATAACTCCACAGCACTTAGCAACAACAACTATATACAGACATTGTTTTAGTAACTGGGAATAAAACAGTGAGACTAAAAAGATAAAGTAATTTTGTCCCAATGAAAAAATACATGCAGGTATTCTAGGGTAGAGAATTGAAAACAAGCTATAATCAAGGCAAGTGTGGCTCATTCAAAGATCAGAATAAGCCATACTTGCACAAGAACATTGCAGTTGAATTAAGTGAAAAAGAGGGTATATAGTAGTATATATGAACAGAAAGGATATGCTACAAATGAAATATATTGTATGTGACCTACTAGATTTTTTTAATGATACCTTTATTCTGAGAAAAATGGGGAACAATGGAATCTTGTATGTGTTTGTATGTGTGTGTGTGTTTTTGTTGGTTTTCAGCAGAGGAATTATAGGACCTGACTTACATTTTAATCAGTTCATATTGGCTGCTGTGTTGAAAATAAATTGTAGGATAAATAGAAGGAACAATAATAACTAAAAGGTTACTGAAATAACCTTAGAAAGAGTGATGTAGTAAAAAACAAATATAGTAATGGAGAAGATGAGATTCTGGAAATATTTGAGGTTTTTGTTATGAAGTGCCATTGAGTCAGTACCGACTGACAGCAATATCATACACAACAGAAGGAAACACTGCCTGGTCTGTGCCAACCTCACAATCATTGAGGCCATTGCTGCTGCCATGGTGCCAATCCATCTCCTTGGGGGTCTTCCTCTTTTTCAATGACCATCCAATTTAACAAGCATGATGTTTTTCTCCAGATAATAAGTCCAAAGTATGAGAGATGAAGGGTGGCTATCCTGGCTGCTAAGGAACATTCCGGTTGTAGTTCTTCCATCACAGATCTATTTGTTATCTTGGCGGTCCATGGTATGTTAATATTATCCTCCAATACTACAACTCAAATGCATCATTTTTTCTATGGATTTCTTTATTCATTGTCCAACTTTCACATGCATATGAGATTATTGAAAATGCCATGGCTTGGATCAGGTGCACCTTAATCTTCAAACTGACATCTTTGCCCTTGAATACTTTAAAGAGGTGTTAAGTAGTAGATTTGCTTATAACAATACATCATTTGATTTCTTGACTTCTGTTTTCATGAGTGTTGATGGTTGATCTGAGAAAAATGAAATCTTGGACAACGTCAGTCATTTTTCTATTCATCGTAATGCTATTTATTGGCCCAATGGTGAGGTGTATTTTTGTTTGTTTGTTTTTTTCTTTATATTGATGTGCAAGCCATACCAGACACTGTGGTCCTTGATCTTCATTAGTAAATACTTTAAGTCCTCTTCACTTTCATCAAGCAAGGTTGTATCATCTGCATATCACAGGTTGTTAAAGAGTCTTCCTTCCACATTCATGTCAGATTTTTCTTCATATAATCCAGCTTCTCAAATTATTTGCTCAGGATAAAAACTCAGTAAGTATGGTGAAATGATACAACCCTGGCATACGCCTTTCCTAATTTTAAACTAACTATTCAGTGTTTTCTTGTCCTGTGTATAGACCAAGACACAGTTTGAACTTTGAATGTATAGGCTTCATTTTTGGAAATATTTTCTGTGATTACTTCAGAAGTAAAGTTTGGTCTATGTACAGGAACCTCATGAAAACAACTAAGTGTTTCAGAATACTCATTCTCCGCAATGTTGTTCATAGCTTGTCATGATTCATATAATCAAAAGTCTCCGTATAGTCAATAAAGCATAGGTAGACATCTTTCTGTTATCCTCTGCTTTCAGTCAAAATACATCAGATGTCAGCAATTATATCTCAGAAATCCAGGCTGACAAATAGGCAATTTTTTAAGCTCCAAAAAATTAATATCAAATCTTATATAAACCTTAAAAATACAAGAGGTAAAAAAAATTATGTAAAAATTGCATTATGTTTTAATTCTACTTTTATGATGAACTTTTGAAAGACCCTCATTCATGTTTTTGGTCAGACAACTTACTCAAAAAAAGAATAAACCCATTAAAGCTATTTATATATATGTGTGTGTGTGTGTTCTCATAAAATTCTCAGTAAGAACTTAGTTCTCATTAAGAATTAAGTCAGTTTGTAAATCTTTATATCTAGATAATTTTAGTGTTTTATGAGAAGAAAGTCTTAGAATTTTTCATTTTATTAATTTGTACAATAAACACTTATTGATATACTAATACGTGCTAGCGTCTCTGGCTAACACACTGACAAAATAAAATTAAACAAGTGCCTGCCTCATGGAGTTCAAATTGACTTTGGGGAGTACTTGGTTAAAATCCATAAGTGATTTATCATAGGTTAATAAATCTCCTAAAATTGCATGTAGAGATTTTTGCTATAAGCTTACAATTATTTTTTTCCTGCAAGAAGATATCACAAAATGAAACAAATAAAATTAGATTTACTGGCATGTATTATTCATAGATACCACTATATTCAATTTTACAAAAGGAGAAAAGAAAATGTTGTACTAAAGATTTAACATGATTATCAGATAAGCCATTTTCAGCAATGGTCTTGGTTGAACTCCGAATTCTTCAAACAAAGACAAAGATTGTTAAGCTACAATAAATATTCTAATTTGTATCCCATAAGTAAATAAAAAATTCTGAGACCAAGTAAACAAAACTCAGCTACCTGTAGGAAATACTTGCTCCTTGAAGAAAGACTATGAATAGATAAAATACCTGTCATTAAAACCAATAGCTTACTGATCAATACTTCCTTCAAAACTGTTAGTTATCTAATACTACTATTACAGAAAGATCACAAGTGGATAGCTTTAACCACCAGAAACTTATCCTAACAATTTAAAAGTCTAGAAGTCCAAATTCAATGTGCTAAATCTAGAGGAAGATTTTGCCTTGTTGGCTCTGGGAAAAGGTCCTGGTTTCCTCTCCTTGGAGATCTTAATATGTCTAGAATCAATCTTCCCTTAGATCTAGGACCTTCACAGTACAAGCACCCCAGGTCCAAAGGGCTATTCCTAACTCCTTTAGTAGGTCTCTCTGGGCTCTGCTCACTTCTCATTCCTTTTATATTTCAAAAGAAATTGACTCAAGATATAAACTTAATCCTGTAGATTGCATCTGGCCACATTAACATCATAGGCATGAGAATTTATGTCACATAGGATAATCACATCATATGAGAGCTTATTACATTAGATCACATAAAAGGGATAATTGCATTATATTAGATCTCATCATGGAGGTGGTAACATTTTATCTACTAGACCATTGATAATACTGACACTATACCTTAACTATTACAAAGACCGTGCCTTTACTGTTTCTACCAATTGAAAGTTAATAAGTCATAAGCTTTTCCTAGTTTCAATCAGTTTCCTATCTTGATTTGAAGTCAGTATTAACTCTTAACTTAATCGTTATATTCCAGTACCAAATATTTCATTTTCAGTAGTTAGTGCAATGAAATACTTATTTCATCCTCAATTTCAAAGAGTCATAAAGGCCTATTGTGAACATGGCTCTAAAATACTGCAGGCTAATTTGAACTTTCTTCTTACTATCAAGAGGTCCATAGATTAAAAGAGACCTTTTTTCATTATAAATCTAAACTACAGCATCCAGGTTTATAATAATAATAATAAAAGATCAACATTTGACTTGAATAGCTCCACAGGACTTCTCCTGGGGCTGCTAAAAATCCATAACTTCAAATGATACTTGGGATTCTGATTTATGTATGTGAACAAGTAAATTCTATAAGTTGTAGTGATTGACATAAATGACTTGTAGAAGTTATTGATATATAAATTTAAATATTTGTAAATAATTCTAAAAATGCCATGATTTGTCTTCAAATGACTTCCTTAGGTGAAATATTTTTATTAGTAAGTAATGTGAGCTAAAATTATAGAAATAACTTTAGTATTGATAATTTTAGTACTTTTTGAAAATACTTTTTCTTGTTTAATTGATAAGACAAAAATACTGACAAACCTCATATGTTGCTGGGCCAGGAGAAATCTCTTTGACATTTTCAAAACGCTTTGATGTCCTCACAAATAAGGGTATGGGGCAAGAATTCTTTAAAATAGGATTGTATTTTGCAGGCCCTAAGAGAAACCAAATGTAAAAATAAAAAATTGAATATATTTAGAATGGACTGATTTTGATCACATGCATCTTATTCTTAGGTTCAAGTTCTTAATGAATACATTCTGCAATAAATAATATGTACCCATTCTATCTGAATGTTTATATACACTCAGTTTGGTATTTGACATGTAGTAAGTATAAAACAGTGACATCTGTTTATTGATAATTCAATACAGAACAACAATAATTTACCAAAAGAAAATATTACCCTTCAAGGTATATATATACAAACAACGATACCTAGAGTTTTTATTTCCTAAACATTCTTTCATGTGAACTAGGATGTAGTGCATGAACTGCTTTTGGAATATGCATAAGATTTAAAGAATCAGAAAAGAGATTTAATACCCTTCTGGGTGCTACACATGATAGAGCCTCGAGCACAAAAAATTTACATGAATCACTTTGAGGTTATAATTAGATTGGATGAATGTAAGTCTAATGTGAAATAAGGATTTTGTACATAAACCAATGATTTTCAAAATGTATTATATAATGCATATAAATTTCATGGAACTGCCCAGGGAATATTGTGTAGGTTAAGATGTAAAAGCAAGAGCTTGAATTGTTTTCATCTTAAAGAGCTCTATATTTAATCTGTTTTATTTGTTTGGGTACCATTTTAATTTAACAACAAAAGCCATTTTTGATTGAAAAAAAATATTCTCATAAAACACAGTCAGGACAATGGGTAACTCTTAAAGGTTTTAAAGAATATTCATGGAGAAAGTAAACTGTAATAATACTGTATAAGATGGTGTGATGTTTAATTTTATGTGTCAATTTGGCTAGGTCATAATACCCAATTGTTTGGTCAAACACTAGTCTAGATGTTGCTGTAAGGGTATTTACATGTGATTGCTATTTAAATCAGTTGATGTTAAGTAAAGCAGATTATTCTCCACTAAGTGAAGTCACCATCAAATCAATTTAAGACCTAAGAGCAAAAACTGATGTTTCCTTAGGGAGGATTCTACCTCAAGGCTGTAAATAAATATCTTGCTGGAATCTCCAGCCTTAACCTGGCCTACTAATTTCAGACACAAAATGGCTGGAGACTCCAGACTGTCACCTGGATTTTGGAAATGCTAGCCCCCACAATGGCTGATTGTGTGCTAGCAAGACAGTTCTGACTCATAGTGACCCTGTGTAGGATTTCTGAGCTTCTTATAGGAGCGGAAAGCCTCATCTTTCTCCTACAGTGCACTTGGTGGACTTGAACTACTGACCTGTAACCCACTATACCATCAGGGCTCCTTAGTCCCACAACGGTATGACTAATTCTTTAAATCTTTTTCTTTGGTTCTATTTCTTGGGGAATCTTTACTAAGATGGTTGGGACAAAACTTATAACAATGCTAAAGGAAAGGAAAGGAAGAGCAATTCATAACATTTTCTAAAAGCTGAAATGGGAATTTCATGTGTGTGGATAGTGATTAGAAGGAGATAAAAAAAAAAAAAAAAAGTAGTGACAACGAAAAAGTGTGGTGCTGTGGGATTAGCCCTGGATTGCAAACCACAAGGTCAGCAGTTCGAATACAAGCTGCTCCTAGGAAACCCTAGGGTCCCTGTGAGTCAGAACCAACTCGATGGTACTTAACAACTATTAAAAATGTAATATTGTGAGAAAAATAGGAAACAAAGAAAGAAGATGCCATTTGGAGAATATCATAAGCTTTGTTTTGAGCTAGTTTTGTTTGAAACACTGGCAGGATATCCAAACACAAATGTCTGAAGTGCAGGTAAGAACGTGGGCCAGGAAAACAATATATGGAGTCACTCATAGGCACCAGTTGAGGTTATTTTAAGTGAGAGAGTGTGCAGAGAAAAAATTAACTGAGGATTAAAACATGGAGGCTACATTTTAGAAAAGGAGGGGAAAACTCAAAGAGACAGTCTAAAATACAGAATTAAAGTAGTAAATCTTCGCAGAGCGAATGTGTACAACATTCCAAGCATTGTTTTTCAATAGGGTGTTGGAGGTCTACTATGTCATATATCCAAGGAAGAGAGAACTTCTCAGAACAGTCATCAAAAAGGATGTAACTGTAGAAGTGGGGGGATCAATGACACTAAATTAGAAGGCACTCAAGAGACACTGTATGGAGAGAAATAGGCATTTGGATATTTGTTGTTGTTGTTATGTGCCATCGAGTCGGTTCCGACTCATTGCAACCCTGTATAGGGTTTCCGAGGGTGTAAATCTTTACAGGAGATTAGTTACTGATAATGAATATAATAAACAGTGAAACAGTAGATTCGACATGTTTTTGTTGTTTAATGCTGTCGAGTTTGTTCCAATTCATAGTGACCCTATATAGGGTCTAAAAGGAGTTGGTAGGTTTGAACTGCCAACCCCAATGCATATTCAGTGCCATCCCAGGCCTTAATAAAATACAAAAGTAATACCTCTGCACCTTCCTAGTAAACGAACAATTCAAAACCATTTATTTGAAAAACAAATTCTGTTGATAATTTTTTAAACTTTTATTTTTTAATTGATAAATTCAATATGACACCCTGTTCCAATTATTAATGGATGTTTAAAGCTATTTCTCTTCATTTTGAATTGTGCCCCATCAGCAATTAAAGGTCCTGCGGGCTTTTCTCCCATGGGCTTTACTTCATTCGCGTCATCACAGTCAACTCTACTTTGAGGAGGCAGCTCTTTGCCAGTCGCATTTTGAGTGCCTTCTAACCTGAGGGGCTTATTTTCCGGCATTATATCTGACAGTGTTTTCTGCTATTCATAAGGTTTTCAGTGACTAAATATTAGGAAGTAGTTCTTCATTCCTTCTTCCTAGTCTGTCTTCGTCTGGAAGCTCATCTGAAACCTGTCTACCATGGGTGACCCTGCTGGTATTTAAAATACTGATGGTCTAGATTCCAGAATCACAGCAACTCACACTGACAGACAAGGGGTGGATTATATATTATTTAATAATAGTATGCATGAGTTTGGAATAATATAGATATAATGCATACATACATTGCAGAGAAATAAGGCACATATACATAATACCTTTCTAGGTATACTTTCATATGCAAACTAAACTATTCAAGAAAAAATGTGCTAATTTCTGCAGTATCCAGTCAAGAGTACAAACTAACATCAGTAACTGGGTGCATAATTCCATAGTTAGCCTAACTGAATATCATAAATTTAGCCATAAGCATTTGTAAAGATTAATGTGAAAGATAAGGTTATTATCCAAACCCTTTTATAACTTTCACTTTCAATTATGAAGAAACATAGTCTATCCCTGCTCTTACCATCATACTACAGAAACAGATAAATATTTACATTCATGGTTATATGTCATTAAGAGAAGAAATTATTCAAATGTAGTTGGAGTGGATTTTCTTTTTTTTTAATTCCTTTGAGGAGCATTAAGTGAAACAAAATTTCTCTTAATAGGAATCTTGCTGCATTTTATCACTTAACCTGTTTTAAGCTAGAGAGCATTTAAAAAAAAAAAGGTTTCTACACTTTTACCTTAAAATATATTTTCAATTACTTAGCTACTGTGCATATGATACAGGTCAAAGACTTACATTGCTTCACCAATTTGATTCGAAGCTGAATTATGCAGAAACTATCTTCTGTTTATTTACCAAAATGCCACATTTTAATCATAGGTCATGGAAGAAGAACCTTCTCATTGAAAATAAGATACCTATGAAAGTCTGCCTGAATCCTGACTAGTATATAATGGGAAATTCAAAAGCAGGTGATTCTTATAATTACATATTTTCCAGTCCTGTGCCAACTCATTCTCTATGAAATGTCAAGCAATGCTACAGGGCAAAAATGGAAGAGAACAGAAACAATGAGTAATTTAAAATAAAAATCTATGCATTTGGCCCTTTGCAATGATCATTTTGGTACATTACAGTAGACTCAGAAATAATTGCTTCTAGAAATAAGCTATAAAATATCATGTAAAATAATAGCTGTCTTCATAATGAGCTAAAATTTATGAATCATGTAGTCATTTTGACTATGACTACTGGGTCCTTATTTCATGTGAAGGTGATAGAACTTTACTGAAAAGTAAATATCCCATATGTGAGTATATCTTTAGGAATTAAAAATCATTTAGGAAATTGTTCATTGAAATGGGCTGCATGGCTTTAAAATGTCATTTAAAGTGTTTAGATTTTTATAGTACACATTTTCTCAGACTGCTTTTATTTCTCAGCCTTATAAATGAGGTAATAACAAAGACAGAAGATTAGTACACATGAAAGTATTACCATCAATGTCAGAGCCACATTTAGGTTTAATGCCCTTTACCACTAGTAAGACATAATTTGATTTAAACAGCGCTTCATATTATGACCACAGAAGTACACAGTCAATTCAACTGAGCTTATAGGTAATGGGGAAAAAAATAAAATAGATGAAGAGTCACAACACTGCTTAAACTTTTAACCAAAATTTCCATATATGGTTTACCATCTCGTTAATTTCTCTAGACAGAAAGAAAATAAATGACATGATTTAAGAAATCAGACATTAAATACTTAAGGATGATGCTCCAAAATTGTTACAGAATATATAGGAATTATTGTCAATGAAGTCCCTAATAAATAGACTATTATAATGAACTCCAACTTAAGTATACTCAAGTCTACCTAAAAACATGCACTTCTTAAAACATGTGTTCCTAGCATTGATTAAGCTATAGGACTGTCTCTATTATAACACATAAAAACAAATAACATGCATTTAGCTTGACTGAAATATCCCTACAGCAATGTCTGTTTCTCTGTATATCTCTAAGCACATACTCATTAAAATATTCATCCATGTTGTTGTTAAGTGCCGTTGAGTCAGTTTGGGCCCTCTATACCATTTCCGAGGAGTGGCTGGTAGATTTAAACTGCTGACCTTGCGATTCAAACCGACCTTGTTGTCAAGTGATAATCCTACAGAGCCACACCAGGACTCTGT